ACACACACACACACACACACACACACACACACACACACACACACACATATATATATATATACAAATACACGAGTAAAGTCTGCGCCAACCGACCTCTGGAGCCTCCACCCGCCCTGACCTCTTCTCTCGCAAACCTCCCCGAGGCCACACCCACACGCGAATCTTACACACGCACACATCCACGCGTACACGTTTATACATTGCACGGTACGGCTGCTGTTGCGGCAAAATTCGCCCTCTGCTGCTTTTACCCACCCGACCCGCGCGTCGCGTTCACATTAAAACGAACGATCGGCGTAGCGCGCGTGCAGTGTCGGAGAGACGCGTACTACAGCACCATGACGTTTAATCTAGAAAATTGCTGTTGGTTACGTCGTTCGTTTCCATTAGTGTCAGACGACCCGTAGGACACATATGTACTGTACACACACACACACACGCACACACACAATATATATATATATATATATACACCAGAGTGTTACGGCTCGAGACAACGAGTGAGAGAGATGATGCTATACAGATCGTTCGATCGTTCGGAGAAGAAGAGCGCAGACGATAATTTGTGCTGGTCGCCGGGTGGGTGGGCTGCAAGTCGGCGGGAGAGGGGAGGGGTGGGGTAAAAGAAAGAAAAATTGTTACGAAGACTGTACGAAGGGTGTTGGGGAGAAGTAAAACCTGTGTATATGTGTGTGCTTGTTTGGCCGGTGCCACGGCGGCGGTCGTCGATGATCCACTTTGACAGCGAACAACAAACCAGCGGCGGTGTAGCAGCGCGGTGATTAAAAGTTAACTAAGATAATAGATTTTTCTCCCCGGATATCACGGACGGGCGCGATTAATCCTATACACCAACCCTCACAAACCCAACGTTTTAAATCACGCGCGCGCGTCCCGTGAAATGGTTCCATACATTTTATCGTCTCGCCGGCCGAATGAGGCGGACGTGGGCGAGGTGCACGGAAGTTGCAACCGTGCCTATGAGTGCGCGTTAATAAATCACTACGCGTGGCGTGCAGCCGTTGCGTTCGTGCAAAGACCGGCAGCCACGACTGACGAACAGGTTTACGAGAGTCCTTTTGTTTGACAAACAAAAGTAACTGCAATGTAATATAATACATCAGTGGTAGTCGGTGGATATGCAAGCCCCCCTCTTTATGGCAACGTTTATTCTACGTAATTCTAATATTCTATAATATTGTTTACATGGATCCAATATTATGAGCTAGACATGATATTTTCAACAATAGTATTTCACATAGTAGGAAACAAAATACAAATCCTTTATAAATAATATATAATATTATAATATTACTAGTTAGTATATAGTTTTATGAATATTTTTTTGAAAATTCACCTCCCTTCTCTTTATAAAACGCCTGGATCCACTGCTAATATTACATTACTATAATTTGAAATATTTATTGTATAGTGTTTTTAAAGAACCAAGAGTGCAATATAATATTTAAACAAACAATCTTTGATCAAGACACTACGATAATAATAATATATTGTTACATACGTATATTATAATATTATAAACCATCGAGTGCAGTGACAACCAGGTGCATAATATTTCGAGCGTATTCAATTTTTATTATATATTAATACAATATAAAAGAAAATGTTGTATATTTATTTTAAAATAGTAATTGGTTTAACAATAAAAAAAAGTCTCATTTAAATTTAAGGAGGTGTAGGGTAAAGATATGTCCATATGTCCATAACTTAAATAAATAATACCTCTAGTATGCTAAAATTTCAAAAAATTTTGGAACTAAAAAATAAAAATATTCAAAAATAGATACTACAAAAAACATTTAATAGGTATAATTTCCGTATAACTAAATAATTTATGCTTTATAAATATAAAGCATCATGCAGTAACGGTTAAGTATAATTATATTTAATTTATTAATATTTTATATTGATATTGCCAATTGCCATATTGATAACCATAGCAACAATGTAAAAGGATACCTCATACCTATATTATTATTTCTTTTGGTTATTCAACGAAAGACTTAATTATTTGTAAGTCGACCGCTTCTCAAAGCGAGGAATCTGTAAATAATATTAATAAATAATAATACCTTCCAGGTAAGCTAGCAAATAATATGTATATTGAATGGTCGAAATGCCTTCTATCAGCCGTCGGCCGTCACACTAAAAAACCATTTAATATAATATTCCAAAGAGGTTAAGAGGTTTAATGTATGTAATTTAAATACAATTTTGAGAAGAATTAAAATATTCAATCATAAATATCAATTATGAAAAACAGTCTCTTAAATAAAACTAGTTGACGGAAAGTATTGCGCCACATAATTATTATTTATTATAATAAGGATAGTAGTGGTTGTAATGGCAGTTTATACCGCGGTCGGCTTTTTAAGTATGATACAAGCGGGCTTATAAATTCATTGGATATTATAATAAGACTGTGGTCAGAGACCGATTGCATAATATAACCGCTACCACGAGCGTGAATATTATATTGCGTATCAAATGAAAATCTGTAAATAATATAAAATACAATAATAATATTCATTTTATCAATATAAAATATGAATATTACGACTTTAGTGGCATTATATAGTCATCTTACAATTCATTATGTTATCATTAGCGTAGTGGCGTGCACTACAGGATTATGCGCCTGATGGCTAAGCTGATACAGCATATATTTTAACCAACTAGAAAAGAAAAATAAACAACCATTTCCCCCCCCCCCCCACATTAAAGCATAGGTGAAAGGTGTACAAGGTAAAAATATATGGGACATAAGTAATCGTATATCATTCGATTATAATATGATAGAGTCAAATGTCGTTTAGTATTAAATTGCTCCCCTCATCATAAAATTGATAAATACAAAATTAAGAAATACGAGAGGATTTTACAAGACACTAAGTCTTACTGAGTACAAATATTTAACGAAATGCATAATTACATTAAAATAAAATGTAAATAAAATAATATTTTACTTTACTGATGACGAGATAGCAATAAGTTAACTAGTGTTATTGAGACTTGACTGCTTCGCGGAACTCTGTTACGGACCAACAAATTGTTCCTATAAATTTAATTAAATAATAATAAATACTTTGGTGTGATGGGATTTTGGGACCCCGTGATAATAATGAACAAACGTAAGATGAGAAATGTGTCTTAATGTTTAATATATTATGATACGAGCATCATAATAAAAGATAAATAAAAGGGGTTAAGCGCAAACGAAAGTCCTTGGTTTAAATCCAAAATTCAGAGTCTTGTTATATAGTAAATACTATAATATAAGACATTGTGCATCTGTAGGTATTAGTATACAACGAAGGATAATTGTGTATTAGAAGTGAGTTTTAAATTTTAATAAAAACATTAGTAAACTATTATAAAAATATAAACTTATATACCTATTATTTTTATGTTCACATAATTTGATCGTTTGACAAAGTATTCTTAACATTACCAATATTTGTTTGTCTTATTACATTATTCATCAGTTTTTTCTCTCTGTTATTGAACGCATCACTGTAAATCGATAGTTTTATTATTCAACTCAATTGTAGTAATACCCATGTACGTAATTATTTGTGTATTATGAAAACGATGAAATATATTTTACACGCTACAAGGTCAAATAAAGTCATCGAATAATGTTTTAATCGAAAAAGTCAGGGAATATACTCGTATATTTTTTATATGAGCCCTCGTTTATTAATATTAAAAATTCAAAAACTTTCATTGGCTAATTATAATGAAAAACATTGTACTTTACGTGTTATAAATTAAACGCTTGCACGATTTTTATAGGACGGCTATGGCTTGTAGCTACAAATACATATTGTGTATATATAACACGAGTGAAGCCAACCTTTTTACGAGGCTAACCTTTTTTTAAAAACTTAATATGCTGTACATCATGTATAGGTATATTTATAAAATATAAATATATATGCATTATTATTATCATATTATATAGTTATATATTTTATCTACATTGCAGTTATTCATTGTATTTATCATTTAAAGTTCTTTTTCTATTTAATAACTCATTTTATGTAAATAATATTTTCACATAAACACGACACGGGCTAAATTTTAATCATTTCATGATACTTTAAAAAAAAAAGAATTAATACTAGTTATTATGAATAAAAAAGTAGGTATATGCATAATTGATTATTAAAAAGCGTTATTACAAATTCAACTATAATAATAATAATAATATTTATAATTCTTTTTTTTTTAACGAAGAAATATGAAAGAAAGAATGCAATTTTTATTTATATTTATTGCACTATTCTCGTGTAAGTGTGGTACATCTCTGAAAATAGTATTTGATAATTTATAACGAAAATAGTTACTCCGCACGCGACCAAGGTCTATATTTTATTATTATAATATTATGATATATACACTTACTCGTATACACTTCAAACGAAACAATTTAGTCTTAGCATGACACTTTTGATTTCCGTTAAATTAAGTTAAATTATGCATTAAATTGTAGTGTATAATATACATTGCATATAATTTATAATACAGAAAATTCGAAATTTTATATTACTCCATTTTATTATCTTACTATTTTACTTACTTATAGATACCTATATTATATAAGAATTAAATTGGTTGACTGTATCCTGCGGATGTTATAATTTAATTTAATAAAATAAAACTAATTGTTACAATTAAGGAGTTAATTAAAGTGACTTAAATTCCTCCAGGAAGTTTGACATTAATTTGGTAATATCTGTTAAAAAGAAGGTTAGGTGATTTTATATTAATTTCATTAGAGGTGACTTGGGCAAATGTGTTGTCTAATGATTGGAGGAAAAGTTAGAATGATTTTTCGATAATGGGTAATTTACTTTTACATTAACAAGCAATAATATCGTTAGTAGTAGAATTAATATTATCATGTAAATATATTCAAATAACAATTTTCTTTAATTTCAAATATATTACCAAGTAGATAAACGCTCTGCAATACAATAATACCACGTTAGTGATTGGATTTCTGCAATAGATGTGTTAAATTTAATAGTCTATCATGTATACGAACACATTGTCTGAATGAAAGCAGTAACTTTTTAGTAACCATATGGTTAACTTCAAACCGTTATATTAAATTTTGATAATAATATTTATATTTTAATAAATATTTGTATAATATTTTTAATAAAACAAATAATACATTAATATATTGTATATTTGTGTGTTTTTTTTATTTTCATATACAAAGACACTTTTATTAGTAAAAAAATTAGCCTGACCATCAACTTCAAGGAAGCTTTTTACTAGCAAATTGGCTCTAGTATGTACTTTTGATAAAAAATAAAAACTTCTCGATACTTTTTAAAATAGTTGAGGAAAACAATAAAAAATTAAAAACACACATCGTTGTATATATAAAATCAATACATTCCTCGCTTCTCTCAGATTCTAAAATACAATAACAAATAATAATATACAACAATGTTATATTGTTGTAATTTTTTCTAATAAAACTTTATTGTGGGACATATAAAAATTCATATATGTATTGGGTAATTCGATCCTCAATTCGTTTGTCTTGTCTCAACTCAAACTAGTCAAACTTAAAAACTATTCAATTAACGCCGTGTTGAACTTACATACTTAATAATTGCTGCTATATTTTCATTTTACGCCAATACCTATGTAATGAAAATAGGACATCCTATTTAAAAGACATCATGATGGCACTCTGTAGTTTGAAGTAGCTACAGCTACCTCCTACCTATTATTTAGGTATTAATTTTTAAATAATCATCATTCGCGTTTCTATAAAATGTTTTTTTTTTTTTTTTTTTGTTTTTCGTTTTATAGCGATAAAAATGTCGGAGCAGTCAGAAGGGGTGAACAACAACAAATGGCTGTTGGGCCAGGGCCAGAATTACACGCAGCTCCATCACCAGCTTCAGCAACAGTGTGGCGGTGGAAGTGGTGGTGGCGGTGGTGGTAGTGGAGGCGGTGGTGGCGGTGGTGGTGGCGGCGGAAACGGGTCGCCGGGAAACAATTCGCCGGCTCACAAGATGAACGGCAGTGGCGGCACGCACAATCATAATCACCACCATCACCACCACTCGCCGACGTCCCATCACCAACAGTTCGCCCATCACCCGTTCAGTCTGTTGGGCGCCGCCGGGCCGGCCGGCTACCTGCTCGGTTCCGACTCGCTCAAGGTCACCGGTGGCGGTGCGGGCGGAGGCCCTGCCGGGTCCAATCACGTCTTGTTCTGAACTACGCTGCAACGAACCGCGGGCAAACTTGGTCACTATACTATAGTAATAATATTAGGTATATTATTAAATCACGACAAACGAACGAGTGACGGTACACCGAAACATCAAAATGTCACTCCGCCACGATAACTGCAGGTCGTGCACGATCAACGACGAAAGCATTTTCACCGTTTTGTAAATAATAATATTATTATAAAATATAAGTAATACACGCAAAAACATTTATACACTGTAAACAGTGTTGTTAATAGGTAATAATTTAAGAAACATAATATTGTCTTACGCGTTGTGAGGATAAACCGTAAAGTTTATATTGTAACTTTTATTTTATTTTGATTTTTTTTTTTTTTTTTTTTAATTATGTGTATTTTGATTTTTTTTTTCGAATATAATAACAATTCAAATAGGTATAAATGGTATAATATGCGATTCGGTATAGATGATTTACACAAATACCTATAAAATAATAAATAGCGGCAAAGGATGCGAAATCGTCATTGTAAACCGTCAAAACTCGTGAGGTTTGATGCGCAAAGAATGTATAATCGTGGCCGTCGCCGCGGAGAATGACGGGGCTGCCCGGAAATGGGTCTACGAGGGTGTTTTGTAGCCCTACCCCCTAGATTTCAAATTTCCAGATTTTTGCCTGGTGTAACCGAAGCGGTTTTCGCCGGGATTATATTTTTATTCTATATTTATCACACATAATAAGTAGGTAATATTCAAAAATAATAATGACCTCCATAATGTTAATATATTGTGCGATTACAGCACTCGTGTGTTTTCTCCACGTGTTTATATGAACACGTTTATTAATTGTAGCCCAAACTGTTTTCGGTCGGTCTTGTGCGAAACGACAACGATTTACAATGAGCCTGTATCTATATATATATATATTATATAAATACGGGGTGGGTACACTATGGTCCACCCCAAAAAAATATACACCTAAACACGCCCTTCGAATTTTCTGTTATGTATTTATATATGTGCACGTGTGTGTGTAAATGTGTTTAGAAGAAAACAAAACACATCAAAGTGCACTTCGGTGGCCGATAATACCCCGCTCGTACAGTAAATCGTTCCATGGGGTTAATCGTTCGAGTGTACATAACTGCAGTAACCTCTGTAGATCCGCATAAAGTGAGGAAGCGAAGATCAAAAGAATGGCAGTTGCCCCAAAGAGAAAAATTTTTGAGGATATGAACATACCTATTTTATGTGTATTTATGAATATGTTTTATTAGCATTACCCACGTATCTCAAAAATTATAAGAAAACTAGAATAAAAAAAAAAAAGTTATTAATATCAGATCGTTGATTTATAATGGTGAAACTCTGTAAAAATATGTTTTACTGTTAGCTTAACACCATAAGTTTTACACTTTGGTGATTCACTTTTAGACAATAGAAACTTGTGTTATTTTTGTATGGCCTATTTGGAGACGATTAATCACAATATTTTCATTTCCGTTTAAACGATTTTATTATTTTGCCTTATATTATTTATTAAATATTAAAGTAAAAAACTTGACCACACTCATAAAAACACTTGTTACAAGACCTCTATAGAACATCATTGTTTTCTGTTGCATTTATCTACTGTAGTAGTATAATAGTAGTAAAAGTGTTGCCAAGACGTAGCAAGAGTAGGTAGGATTCATAGGATCGTTGGATATTTTTGGAATTCTTCTTTTTTTATTTTTACTCAACTCTTTATTAATACCCAATATCAAATGAGTACAACGAACTGCTATACGTCGTGACGTCATAAAATAATAATAAATATTACTATTATACGATGTGATAGGATTAAGAAACGTCTAAAAATACGTACTAAATAGCTGTTTACATTACGTAATAAAGGTGTCTGAACAGATAGCTTCTAGTGGAACTGTTTCTGCAGTGGGCGATAATTTTTTATCATTCATATGCGGTGATGTTGGACGATAAAAGTTTTATCAGGTTCGGATTAAGATATAAGCTGTATAGGCTGCTATCATCCACAATGTTTTTTTTTCCTTATATGATAAAAATCATTTTTAAAATGAAAATTGTCACAATTGTATCGCATTATTGCAGGATAGATTGTATCCATACCTAAAATCGTGTTGTTATCGTAGTGGCATACTGTCATTCATTTAAGCTTGTTTATTTACACCATTCGTACCATGGTATGTTTAAATTTATTATAATATATCTATGTTAACATCAATTTGTATTGTTTTATTTTTTAACATAAAATATAGTATGACAAAGAAATTGAAAATATTATTTTATTATTCATCAAGTCGAATGATTTTGAGTTTATGTATATTAATTTAAAATGTAAAAAAATTGTAAAATAAATTTATATATACAAATTAAATGTTAAAAAAAATATTTTTCGAAATGCTATAGTAAAATATAGATACATCAAATTATTACAGCCTACGGCCACTGAAGGTCTTAAATGCGAACCTGAAAAGTCACTTTTCTTATTATAACAACCAATGTTAAATTACCACTGACATAGACCTATTATATTATAACATGAGGTCTATGTAACTACTGCGAAAGAAAAACTCGGAGTAAACCACACGATCGACCGGAAAATGAGAATGTTCAAGAAAATATTATTTCGTAGGCAGTAATAAATACACACAATATTACACGTTTAAAACTTCAACCCATAATATGCAAAAAAGTAATAACCGGTCATAAAATATTATTATAAACAAAAATTTGAACAGGCTTATTTTTGCCATTATGCTAATGCGAACATTATTAGCAATATGATTTACTCAATGATCACTATCCCGGTAAAGGTACAAGTATACAACTAACTTTGTCGTATCTTTCCTCGTCATTACAACGCCGATTATCGTATTGTAACAATTCAATTTTTTTTTTATTTTTTATCTTCTCATTTTTCATAGGTAAAATAATTAATGATATAGTGATATTAAATTATATAAAACGCATAGTATACAATATATTATAATAATAATTATTATTATTATTATTATTATTACTATTGTAATTTCTATTCGTCCGGCAAAATAATTTTGATGAATAAATATAAATATATATAAATATATAGGTAATAATATTATAACGTGTATTATGTTAATTACAATTTTTATTTTGTGTTTACTTTCGCAGGATTATTGTAAATATAATAAATAAAAAATTATGTAATATGTGTTGAAAATAAATTTGTGAACCAAATAATTACAATAAAAAAAATTATTATTGAAAATTGTTGTGGTTTTTTTTTTATATATAAATATATCGTATATACCATTATACCTAATGTAACACCAACTTTTTTTATACCTAAACCTATACGTGAATATAGCAACATTATTTTTTTGTTGTTTGTAGATATATGTTTTTTAAATTAAATTAACTGTTGTTGTACAAAAGAACACCGTGACAACACGCCACAATGATTTATAGTTTTTCTTATCCCACTGAAAAGAAAAAAATTACAGCGTATACGTTTAATGTGTATATTTTTTATTCCAACGATAAAACTTTAGAACTTCGCTACATATGCCTGTTGGAATTTACAAAAAAAAGCTGTTTCACATTTATCACTTTGAAACCACCCATTTACTATTTTTGAAAATTTTCTTCGTCAATATTTAGTATGTAATATTTATAAATTTGTACGATCTTAGTATTCCAGTTATCGAAGAAAATTATAACGCTGAGGTGATGAATTTTAGCTCTATCCATGATAAAAAAATTATCTACTTATAATTTTAACAGCTAAATCATAATTTCATACATAATTTGTATGAATTTGTATAATTTAATTGTTTTAAAATGTTTACAACACCTGTTTAGCGGCTATTGAGGTTACATAAAAAATTTCTTTTGTGTTAGATTAAACTTCATATACTAATAATTTGTTTAAAAATTAAATACATTATATAATAATTATTGAAAATTGAATTAATACGGGATGATGAATATTATTACTAAAATATTTTTGTTTAATTTTTTAAAGATATTTCGGTGACGTCTTACTGTAAAATACCTATACACTGATAAAATGTTTAAATTATAATAATTTGAATTATTTTATTATAAAAGCATTAATAACTTAAATCGACAATTATTTTCGAACTCAAAAGAGGAATTTAAATGTTTTCGTTATTTGTTCTAATCTAACATTTTATAGGAGGTATACAATATCTTATAATATGAATTTGTACATTCTAAGTTATCAATTATGGTCATTATTATGGTATATTGGTAAGCTTCACATTTTGTATTGACATACGTATAATACCATTATTATTTTTTTTAAATAAACTGATTTTAATACTATACTATTACATATTAAATTATAATATGTGTTATTTATATATATATTGCATACATCAATATTATTAATATATTGTCACATTGATTAATTTTATGTTATTATACAGATATTAAATACTTTCCATTTCAGTCCTGACTGCCCTATTGTAATAATATAATCTTATTTGATCAATGTTATATAACGCACTTCCAATAAGTGACTTTTAGTGTTTTTGAAAATAATTAATTTGATATTTCATCGTTTTAAATTTAAAATGAAAAGTCGAAAAACAACTATCTGTCCTCGTGATATTACAAAGATTATACTATCAATACTTAAATTTAAGGAGAGAATAATAATTAGGTAACAAAGTTAATTTATTCGATCGATTTAATGATATATTTAGATAAATAAATAATTTATAATAATGTAGTATTAAAAACATATTGTTTTATAAATAAATACAATATTTAATATTAATAAATAGGTACACCTTAATTCGGCATTATTCTAATGTATAATTTTTCACATAGGTACCTACTCCTCATTATCTAAGTTACTAATTGTCTCATCCTGTTCAATAGACTTTAACTTAATAGATAATTTAATTGTTTGTCAATATTGTTTCAATTCATTATAATAATTATAATATTATTATTTTATAATCAATAAAAATCCTTGAGTATGTAATCGCTTTGCTATATTGTAGGTGTATAGCGTATGGTATATCTCGTCTAAGAGTATGTGTTTTAAAAAACCATGTGAAACTTGAATTTTGTCTGAAAACACTTTTGAGGGTGATTTTCATTTAAACAATTTGAACTCATAGGTACTTTTGAGAGGTCTAAATAGTATAAATAGCCAGCTATTGCGCTTACCCACTCAATAAACCGCCGCTATCCTGACCTAACACCAACACAAAATTTCACTGTTCTCATACATTTCAATGCAATATAATTTAGTAACCAAATTGTATACAATAATAGTTTGTTAGAAATTGTAAAATAACAAACACTAAAATTTTGGAATTAGTGATTCTATTGAATAACAGCATTTTTGATTAACCTCAATAGTTACTAAACAAACAAATATTGCAAACAAAACGCTTACTAAAATATTGCATTGAAATATATGAAAACAGTTCAACTTTATGTTGGTGTTTGGAATAGATTACTGCAATAAATGTCTAACAATAATTGTAAAAGTTTAAAAACTATTAAATTAATTCACACAAATTCCTAATTAAAATATGGCAAAGGACAAAAAAGAAAACACTGACATTTTGTATAGGAATATAGGTTATAGGTGACATCAATTTCTGAATTAAAAACAAAAGCCACTGAACTAAGGTTGTATAAATTCTTGCAAATTGTATACCAAAATATGCATTGAAAGGATACAAAAAAACTGAAATTCTGTGAAGTGATGATGCTAGAATAACAGCATTTTCGATTAATCAAAAAAGCCACTAACTAACAAATATATTTGTAAAAATATATTTACCTACTACATCTGATAATATGTGATAGGTTACCGAATACCGATTATAAATTCCACTTTTAATGTAAGCGTGTTAATTCCAATTTTGTTAAATGCATCGATTATATCAACTATTTCTATGATAGTCATAGTACCACGGGTAAAATATTTGTTTTGATTTTAAAGTTTGTGGATGGAATATATTTGAATTTTTAACTATAATTATTGGACGAAATTTTTATTTTTTTTTTTTCGACAGTATCTTTGTTGCCTTACTGGTAAGATAAATGCAAAAACGATTATTCAATATTCTAAAGGCAAATTTTATGTTTATTGGATTAGTGATTGTAATTAAAACTTTAATATAATCGATCTGTGGTATACCACGTCAATGATGTTAAAAACTATAGCTTTGTCTTTTTTTAGAAAACTAAAACTGGCTGTTGTCTCGACGAAAAGTTTTTTTGTGTGGTTATTGCCTTAATTAACCTTGTTTTTAGTATAACTTGAGTTGGAACTTGCGTAGTAGAATTCGATGTAGATTAATGTATTAGTTAGAATTTTGAAAGTGTTTTTTGGTTGAATTAGTGTTTTGATGTGAATTTGGTTTAGTTTTAGTTATCTTTAATCAAGACGGCAGATTTGTGTTTAAACGTCCTAATAAAGTGTGTTTATTAGCCTTACCGGTCATGATGGTTTATTAGTATATTCAACAAGGTTATATAATAATAACAATATTACGAAGTAAATATATTTATATATATTACTCATATTTTAAACGGACTAGCAGAAACGCCAAAAAATGAGATTGTTATTGACTTGATATCGAATGCAATAAAAACGGAGCACATTAAATGGCTAACGCGTTCTGTATAAATTATTATGGAAGTGAATATATATTATTATGTTAAGTTGATAATCGGAAATATCATAATGTTTACCGCTAAATATTAAAACAAAATAACCAAGTATTACGAATGCATTTTTACGGACAACGAAGTGCACGGGGATAGCTAATAATATAATAAATACAATTCTTTCAGAAAAAAATCAAACCAACCTACCCTTGTACTAAAAATAAAATTAATTACTTTAATGGCAATGGCAAAACGTGTAATATCATAAAATTTACTTAGTGATAAAGGATGACAGATTGTATCAACTCAAAATCGTTTTTCGTAAACAATGATATATCATTGAATTTAATTTTAACATGTCCATTCAAATTATCTACAACTCACAAGACACCTACCGTGCAGCAGACGGTAACCACTTGATCACTTTTTTATATTATTGTATAGCGTTGATACGAATGTGCATTAATTTATTTCGATATAATAAATAATGATAACATATCATATAATATGTCGCATTCACATAGTAAAACCACTCATTTCATGAACTGGATAATGGATATCCAGATAGTGAAATTTGTCCAGATTGTGAATTTTGATGAAAATATATTATATGGACAATTGCCTGTAATATTGTGTACTTTATATAATTATTATGAAACAATTTTTTTTTTTTTACCAATAAATTAAATTATATTAATTTTCTTACTTGAATCGCATAACTGGCAGATAATTTTATTATTTTCAGTAATCCCCGATAATAGAAATATCACTTCAACTTAACAAATGCTGCAAGCAATTGAACGTTTTTCAATTTTCTGTATCTGAGATAGTGATATATATGTTTGAGATATTTTTCCGTTGTTAATTTCTTCAACAGATCAAATGGTAAATTTGATGTAAATAGTCCAATTTATGAGCCATTTCTAAACAAAACTTTATAAAGACTACGTTCAATTGTTTAATGAACTATTTTTTTGGAATTAAACATAATTTAACGCATTATTATTATTATTATTATTATTATTAATATAATTAATTGAAGACCTTGCAGATTTCAATGTAAAATTTCAAACTACCGATAGTATTAACATAGTCACTCTCAGAAATAAACCATATAATTAAATAATCACAATAATTTTAAGTAATATTTCTTCTACATTTTTTTCACCTTATACATGATAGTCAGTTAAAGTATTTTGACACTTCTGATTTTACCTCTGACTAAATACTTTTATAATACCGACAATAGAAATATTTGCCTGAAATCATCCGTAACGACAAATGTTACGCCTATTGTTTTATCTGATGTTTTTATATATTTATAAATGTTTTGTTAATATATTTGGAACCTGTGAGATATCGACGATATCATATATTCGTTCCAAAGTCCTCATTTCACTAGGTTAATGAAGCAAAATCTTGGTAATATATATTATTTATTTAGTGCAGACTATAATAGCCTATGTTATTTGATTATTTCTAAAATCATAAGAAACAATTTAAAAAAATATCGTTAAAAATTGTTCCATTACTCATTAGTTTATGAGCTAATTAGGATAAAAAAAAAAAATACAGAGAATATTAAATATTAATAAAAATTTGAAAAATAGGAGTGCATAACATGATGAAATCCCAAGTCTGGTGATATAAATTTGATACAAATCTGCTGGCACGTTGTTTTTACCGCTTGCAACCGCAGTAGATGTAGATTATACTGTAAATGATGAGTAGATATTGCGACTGCGATAGTGGCCAACACTATGTTCAAGTGTCATAGTAATTATGTATACGAGTATACTGTAACAACGAAAAATGAGAAAGAAATAAAATTAAATTAAAAGGTCTTAAGTTATAGTTATGGAGACTAGACACAAGGCTCGACAAGGGACACAAGCCTTGGATGTAAGTCGGGTATTGATATAAAATTTACGTTTTCTCGCGTTATTGCCTTCTTTCTGTTCTTTGGAGGGTTCTCGAGGTCATGTATTCGAGAATATAATCAAGTACACCGTGATATAAAAAATGATATGCAAAATATTAAAATAATAATAATATTTAGTATATTATAATCATGCACCTTACCTAACTCGCAGCAGTGAATGTAAGGTGCTAGTTAGGAAACACTAATAGTAATAATTCAACACTTAAATCAAAATAAAAACAACACTGGTTTAGCCTTTGAAAAAAAAGAGAAGTTCAGTTGTCGCTCGCAGAATCTTGTATGTAGTCATGTGAAGAGCTCTTACTCGTGTGTATGGTGTGCATGCACTTAACAGTTTGGATGGTGCTCATGCACTCGATAGTTTGGATAGTGCTCGTGCACTGCTGAGAAAAAATGATCTGGTCAAGCCAGTCAGAGTCGCAGGCGACACCATCAAAGGTCTCCGCATTTTCTAAAAAAATTGGCTTTCTCCTAGGTGACAGAGATCCTCATTGGGCTATCCCTTGTCTTTGGCGACACACGAGATGGGTCACACGTTTTGCGGCACATTGTCACAACACTCACAACCCATGTGTCAGCCCCTACATGACCATATAAGTCGTTTCTTTCATCAGCAGTGAAAAATGTTTATGAGGTTTTAATCTGCATGCGACAACTTGACCCTCATTTATTTTATTGAATAGATAAGTATAAGCAATATTACAATTATGATGATATGTGAGCATATCATTACATCCACCCTACGTTTTTTTGTGCTGTGCTCTCACAACATCACTCATGGGTGAGTGTCAGCGTGATTATAATTCAGATACAATAATACACAAAAAATTATTATGAATTAGCTTATATAAATTTGACTTAAGTTATATAATTTTTACATTTTTTTTTTTTTTTTGTAATGATGTACAAACAATCATAACTTAATTTTTTAACTTAACTTAGGTTAGTTTTTACAGTTTTTTTTTTTGATGTATTGATGTACAAATTAATATTACTTAACCTTTTAACTTAACTTGGGTCATTTCTTTAAAAAAAATTTTTTTGCAATTATGCAATAAAAGCATTGAATAATTAACTTCTATTAATTTACATTAGGTTATATATATATATTATTGATAACCCTTTTTTTATATATATATAATATTAACACTATTTTATTTGTGCTTTGCTAAAGTGAATATTAATACAATATTTAATTTATATTCATATTATAATAATTTTTGTTTTTTATATATATACGAGTATATTATATCATTAATATATTTAAATTTTTTTTTTTTATTCTTAAGAATTTTTTTGTTTGTGACTGTTTATTGAGTCTGCGATTGCAATTTTCTTCAGGGTATCGTTTTGTTTGACCTTTTTATTGTTGGTAGTTTCTATTGGCTCGATATTTGATAATTCTTTTTTGTATAATAATGTATTAGGGCCATTAGAGGTTTCCATCAATTTTTATTTTTGTGTAAATAGTTTTAATTTGAAATTATTTGAATATTATTGATCGTATTTTCTATATGCTTTTTGTATTTTTGACTTTTATGTTCTGTGTTAATGAAGTAAGTGTCGGTGTTTTATATATATGAACTATATTATTAGGAATTTTATTAGACTTCTTAGCTGTTAAAGTACCCAGAACCCAATCATAAATTGTCTCCTACAGTAGGTATAATGGATACCTATTACCTAGTTAGGTATATATTTCACAAAGTGATTATAGTTATTTTATTTTATTCGCAAAAACTTTTTAAGTATTTGGAATAAAAATTGATACTAGCTTTAATAATATTAATATCATACGAACAAAGTGTTTTACTGTTTATCTGTTGTTAAGCATAAATATTATACTATTTTTCGTACTCGACCGTGCACGCGTATATTTAGTGAAAATTAGTTATTGAAATTATATCGTGAACGAATAGAGCTATTAAATACTCAATTAACATGTCAAATGAAAAGCAAAAAAATGTTCTACCATTTTTTGCGAACTTTACAATAGCTGGATTGTCTGGGTAATAATTAAATATAAATACTTTATTTTAACTAATTTATGTACCTATAAGTAATTGCAAATAATTATGTAATCGTGGTTTGCATCAGGATGGGAGCTTCGGTATTCGTCCATCCATTAGAAGTGCTTAAATATCGTATGCAATTAAGTGGCGAAAAAGGTACAACATCGGATCACAAAAACTCGTTCCATGCAATCATTAACATGGCAAAAAAAGAAAAACTATCGGGATTTTATAAGGGCATCTCAGCAAACTTTATTAGACAACTAATTTTTACGTCAACTCGGGTAGGCTGCTATACCACGCTTATCGATGAAATGAAAAAGTGAGATTATATTGACAAATAATAATAATATATATTATGTGATAAAATGTACGTGTACATTTTGAATGCGTCCTATACAAAAATTCAAAAGCCTAATTTAAATATGCTGTTTCGTTTAAAATTTAAATGGAATCGGGTACCCAAAAATTAAACGTATCTACACACGACTGACCACACGCATGATATAATATATTATGACATTTAGTTATATAAATGATCCGGTTAAGTATGAGCAAAAAACCAGTTTAAAAGTCACATGAATCTTATGTGAACGTGTGTACGTGACATTTGAACATAATGATGTAATTGCATATATTTAGGTATTATAGGAACGACGGCATCATTAAATTTGCATGCTAAATTATTTGTTTTAAACAGAGTTATTTTTAATTTAGTTTTAATGTAATAGCTGTAAATATGAATAAATTATATTATATTATAACGATATGTGTACACTGGCTAAATCTTAAATATTAATCGTCCTACATATTATAAAATAAAAAAAAAATGTATTCATATGTACCTACATAATCTAACGAGCACATCAATGTGGTAGTATGATAATTAATGTATCGGTAAGATTGAAAATCAAGTGATACATAATAATATTATGTACAAGTATTTTATTAATATATGTGTTACAGACGAGGGCAAAGCAACGTGATAAATAATGCGATAGCAAGCATGTCTACCGGAGCATTTGCTGCGTTCATTTCAACGCCAACCGATGTAATAATTGATTATCCAACGTGAATATTATTATTTGGTGATATATAAGTCTATAACCACCAATAATATTGAACACTGTCATGTAGGATATAATTTGGTCGTTAATCGTTTGAAAACTGTTTAAAATGATCACAGATTGCTGTAGTCCGCATGACGGCCGACGGACGATTGCCAACGGAAAGCCGACGAAACTACAAACATGTGTTCGACGCATTGTGGAAAATCCGAAAGGATGAAGGCATAACGGGGCTTTGGAGAGGGACGGCGGCAACTGTGTTTAGGGCGATGACAGCTAACGTAACGCAATTGATGTCATATGACGCGGCCAAAGTGTACATGATGGACAATTGTAAGATCATTGGTCATATTTATTAGTTATTACCTATGGTGGTTTATACTAATAATAAGAGTACGTCATAAAAGAACGGATTCATTTTAAAAAGCAAAAAAACTCAAAAAATTAATCGAATTAAATGTTTATTGCATCTACGAAACTCTGAAACTAATATAATTTATATACGTAACACATTATCCATATAGTGTCCCACCTCCACGGATATACTATTTGTGTATACTTAATAAAATATTTTCTAAAGTTTTGAAACACTTGTTTCAATAATTTAATTGAAACTGCATTAGTGGTCAATCAGCACTTCGGTCTTAAGCCAATTCCTTTGTACCCGTCTATTGACTAGTAACACCTAATACAAATTCATCCGTTTATTGTGGCTTATTATATTATGTATTAAATATTAGGCCAAAAACCCAAAAATTATATTATATAGACTATACAGCGAATATTTAACACATAGGTTGATTTGTGTCGTATGACACTGATATTACAAAAATATTAAATATACTTATATTTCAAAAACGGTTTTAGATAAAATGGAGAACGGTTTAAAGCTTCACACCGTATCAAGCATGATTTCTGGAATTGTATATTCCATCTGTTCGAATCCAATGGACGTGTTAAAGACTAGGTAAACTACTTATTATAACTTTATGTTTCTATACACAATAATATATGTATGTTTATTTACAAAAATGACATAAAATCACATTCGTAGAATACAACAACAGAAAATAGTAGACGGAAAAGCAGAATATTCAGGGCTAGTAGAAGTGGCATCGACTTTGGTGAAGACCGAGGGAGTGACAGCTTTATGGAAAGGCTGGCCTTTTTATTATTTACGAGTTGCTCCGGGTACTGTCTTGTTATTTATTTTCATGGAACAGCTTAAAAAAGGATATGAAGAACATTTTATGAAAGTCTTGTAATCAATAATTAACTTTAATATTGATGGATTGGTTTTTGAGCAATTACAGCTGTAATTTTGACCTACCATAACTATAAATAAACATTATATACAAATTTATATACATTTTATATTATTATAATTATAATACTTAGGTACTAAGTTAAGATATGTGTGGACAATTGAAAATTCGTTAGTAATTAATCAATTATTTGAGCTACCTCATAAGTCATTAACAATTTATTAAATCAAAATAATTAATTAATTGTATCAAAACCATCAGTCTTATAACCAAATGGTAAACCACGAATAATTTATTTTACAGACCATGATGATTTATCAAATAAATCATACATTTTTTTTTAAATGATTGTATTATTAATTTTATTCTTATAAGATAAGTAGTAAAACAGTCTACGAGCTTATACTTTTATGCTGCTCCCACTTATACGTACGAATTGTGAACCAGAAATTTTATTAATATAATAATCATTGACCATTAGTATTTTTCTTTTTGCTTTATTTAATAAATAATGGATTAAAATGGACAAAAGTCATACATAACTTGCAGCAGTAAATGTGAGGTGCCAATTAGGAACTAATAGGTAGCACTAATGGTAATAATTCAACACTTGAAAAAAAAAAAAAAAAAAAAAAACAACACTGGTTAAGCTTTTGAAAAAAAAGAAAAGTTTAGTTAACGCTCGCAAAATCTTGTGTGTGGTCGTGTGAAGAGCTCTTGCTCGTGTGTATGGTGTGGCCGGTGATCATGCACTCGATAGTTTGACTAGTGCTCGTGCACTGCTGAGAGAAAATGACCTGGCAAGCCAGTCAGAGTCGCAGACAGCACTATCAAAGGTCTCCGCATTTTCTAAAGAAATTAGCTTTCTCCTAGGCGACACAGAGATCCTCATTGGGCCATCCCTTGTCTTTGGCGGCACACGAAATGGGTCACACGTTTTGCGACACATTGTCGCAACCCATGTGTCAGCCCCTACGTGACCATATAATATAAGTCGTTTCTTTCATCAGTAATTAAAATTGTTTATGAGGTTTTAATCTGCGTGCAACAACTTGGCCGTTATTTATTTTATTGAATAGATAAATATAAGCAATATTACAATCATGATATGTAAGCATATCATTACAATACGTACCAATTAAACTACACACAGGAAAATTATTATCAATCATTAACTACTGTCAGGCACATCAAATGGCGGCAAGGTAAGTATCATAAGTAATCTTAACACGTAATTGAGACGCATATTTATTAGAGATGCAAATACGTTGTCATGGGTGTAGCTAGGATTTTAATCCGGGGGAGTTATTAACTTTTTTTTTGCTTTTTCGATTTTATAGTATAACATACACGTTTGGTATAAGAAATATAATTTAGTTTGAAATGCAGGGAGGCAAGTGTTCTCTCCCTGTCCCACCCTTGCTATGCACACGTAAGTGGTCACAAATTATTATCATCACATGTTGATATTTTCCATTAAGTGCATAATATTGATATCTTACAGGCAACGACAATTCAGAGTATTATGTCAATGAAATCTTGTCGTTTGCCATCAATCATTGAGATTATATTTCGGAGTTCAGACAGTAATCAAAAGCGGAATCGAATAATCAAAACATGCGTATCAGTGTGACTTTAAAAAGGAAACAGGTACGGTTGTATGACTATACTAATGTACGAAGAAACAAAAAATAATAATGTGTCGTATGTGACCTATAGGAGTATACAAAATCATTGAAATATGTATTATATTATAAATGTTTCAAATTTACTTAATATTTCGGCTATGATAAAATTTTAAAAATATAAGTTATACCTAATACTTAAATAGGTATTAGATTAATATTAAACTATGTATATTGTATCTATATACTCGTAGAATCAAAATAAAACTTAAAACAAAATAATACATAAATAATAAACGTTATAATACTATCTGTATCATTATTTATTATTATTTATATTATTAAATTTATGTATTAAGCATATTTATTTGTCTAAATTATTTTCTATTCGCCGAACGAATATGAATTACAATAATAATAATTATTAATATTATAAATTGTATATTTATGTACTTGATGTAATACAACATCACTATATTATTAATTATTTTACCTACGAACCATGGGAAAATAAAAACTAAAAACTAAAATAAAATAAAATTGTTACCTACAATATTACAGTCAGCGTTGTAATGACGATAAAATACGATAAAATTAATTAAATATTTAAATGATTAATAGTTATAAACTTAGAAGGTTTACCGAAAACTCCTTGTCGTCAATCTAATAGTGTCATAGTAAATATAGGTATCTACTATCCAAGTAATTGAGTGTGTGAAAAAATTATATTTCTATCTGGTAACCGTGGGTTATTTTTTAAAATCAGATTTTATAGCATATCAGAAAAGGTCTATTATTCTTATCATGTAAATTATTTTGTTTCTATATAGATTTATTTTTTCATGGATAGAACTCAGATTGGTTTTATATTTTTGAAATAAGAATTAATCTGGCAAAAGTAACTTAGTTACATAGTACAAAAGATTATTTTCATATAGTAACCACAAGAATAAATTAAATTAAAATAAATAAACATTTAGTATACCGTAGCAACCATTAACAAAAATAAACAAAATTAATTAATCAATATAAATTTATTTTTGAAATTTTATAAATAAATATTTTATTTAATAATAACAATGAATCAAAAATCAGTAGAACTTGTGTGCCCTAATCGAAACACATTCTTAAAATACAAACATGTTAAAAGCCGGTACATGACAAAAAGTAGGGTTGAGAAACAACAATCACATCAATCCAAACACTTTTATTTAACGAAAATTAAAAAAGTAAATTTGAATTCGTCGTTAGAAGACACGGAATTCCATATAGAAAATTAAATTTATAAAATCTGAATACGTGTCGTTATCCAACACTTCAGTGTAAAACTTATCAACTAGTAAAATCTACTTTCTGTCGACTACAGACGACAGATCAAAATAAAATAAATACAAATATGATCCATCTATACTATCGGAGCCAGATTTGCTATCAACCCTGTTCAATCAAGCAGTCACTAATTGCCTTCCGTGAATGCGTCAGATTTTCAATAAATGTTCATCATAAACTGGATCTGATGGCAAAGTTGATGGTGACAAGTGCCTTTCGGAACCCGCCTAAAGGCTTGTCGTTTTTGGAGTTGAAAAAGGAAGCGAAAAAAAGACTAAACCTCTGTATGTTTGTTAAAACGATTGTGACGCTTGGTATGGTAGCACAGAAAGAAGAACGATTTTAAGATAGTTTTCACCATTTTGGATTGGCTGAATGGCTGAGCAGAAAGACGAACGAGCAAATAGTTGATGCTTTGGACGTAGAAATTGATATATTTAATATGGCCATCTGTCGAACGAAAATGTTCTTTCAAGTGTTTCCTAAACCGAGTAGATTTGAACCACAATTCCGGATGAAAGGCTGTAATCAGTGGACGCATTTCAAAGAAGAACACATGTATTATAAAGTCAAAAAGGAAGTTCGGGAATTGTATAATTTGTTTGAATTCGATTTCGATGATTCAAACAACAACAACGACGTTGAAATGTTTATGGAAAACGATAATGAGCAGATTTCTATTTCTGGTATAACAATTTTAGAACCAAACTTAGGCTATTAGGGGTAGGGGGATGAGGCCCATCGGGCTCCCCCGTTAAATCTGCCACTGGACAGATATAATATGCATAACATACACCAAGTATTTAACTAGGTATTTACATTGAAATATAGAAATATCTATTTCCTTTAAGCATATGCTAATGTTGCTAGTAGACAGTAAAAATAACACATGAACAATTTAATTATAAAATATAAAAACAGCTAATGATTTATAAATCAACTCGGTGATTTTCTTAATTTTAGTAAATCATGTAGGGCTGATAGCAAAGCATAAAAGATTTTATTACACATGCCAAAAAACCTTAACACAAACGAAATATATACATTATTATAGTTAGGCTTCAATATAAACTTATGTTTTTATATAAATTGCTTGACATTAATTTATTTGTATAGTACATTTTGATTGGAAAATTACACAAAATAAGGACTTATAAAGAAGAAACGATAAAAATTAACTGCTATCGAAATTGCAAGCTATTGTATTTTAATTTTTTAATTCATTCAAAGTAAGACAGGTGTATTTTATTTTGGTTTTTGACGACTAAAAATTAATCTATAATTAATCAATTTAATATTAAATAAAAACTACATTTATATAGCATAATATTATTAGGACATATTCATCATACCTGTTTAAATTTTTAGGATAATGGAAAAGAACATACAAATTATTCCGTCAAAAATTTAATCAATGTAAGTCGAAATAAGCGCATACCATAAAATTAGTATAAAATTATGTGTGAATTTATCTTGTAAATTATTTGCCTTTAGTGGTCTTCTTTGATAGAAATAACTCTAAAGAAATATACTGTAATTACCTTAAAAATGTTTGTCACTTTTTGGATCATTTTCACAAAAACCAACGTGAAATACGGAATGACAGCTATTATGCTTAAGGAGGATGAAATAGCCAATTCAAAAACCTCCTCTTGTTCCTGCCTACTTTCTGTTCCTGCCACCACTACCCACTACCTCTCTCCCTCTGTAAGTAGGTATAAAATGTGTTTTGGGTGATACTGATTATTTCAAAGTATTTTTTGACAAAATCAATCTTAAATGCATTTTTAGTTTTTAGCGCATTTTTCACAATGTGTTCGTAACTGAACAAAAATTGTAGTAATTAACAGGAGACTCGGCAAACTGCAGACGGTACTAATAATAAATCAAATAGCACGACGAGTTGTCGTCGATAACAATTTTTTTTTAAATTATTATTGTAGAACGAATGATTAGAAATAAAAACAGAAGTACAACAAAAATAAACAAGTAACAACGAACAATATACTATTAAAAAAATAAATACGCTACTGTAGTGTTATTTAA